TTAGACAGGTGCTCAACTGATTCACTAAAAAGATCCAACTCAAAAACAATTCGTTCACAAACCGGACATCGTCGTCTCCTCTCTCTCTCTCTACCAGTCAATGGCGGTCGACTCGTAAAGGCAAATTAATTTTCCACGGTTAATTTCCGTTTATATATATTTATTTATGGTCCCCATATTCTGATCACTATTTCATTACGATTATTATTAAAATACCACTCTTGCCCCGTCACCGCAGATTATACGAGATTTCCTTTACAAATTTTTTTACACAATTTCCTTTCACTCATAGTTAAAAGAAATTAAATTAAGAACTTAAAGTTTAAGGAAACAGTATCTTAATATACAAATTTACACTGGCTAGCGCTCTCAGCGAACGCAAAACGCGCGCGCGGAGACAAATACAAAGGTCTTGTGTGTCCGATTCACAAAAACACCAGTGCTTTTGTGTCATTTATGTACTCTGTTCTGGAACTTCATGAGCTCCTTGACCAACAGCTTACCGTGTGAACCGAACCGGGTCGCAGCCGCTCCAGCAATTTACACAAAACCACTCCATCTCTGAGAGATGCCTGTAAAAAGCCTTCAGGGTCCGATAGCGTCTTTTTGGGTGATTCCAGGACGCCCAGCGTTATTAACCATGTGATGGTCTGTTCAGCCGAATTCATGACCTCATATGCGTCTAAAGCTCAATAATCCATAAACAAACGAATATGCAGGGCTTTGTGAAATGACAGATATCCTGTGTTGTGCGCAGCGGCAGAGGGATGTTTGGAGCGAGGGCTCTGATCCCTCCTTTTCCCTGGATATTAGGGATGACGATCTGTTTAGGGTTATCTGGCAGGTCCGGTTTCTCTCTCCTCTTCTTTCATCTGGCAGGATGTCAGCTAGTGTTAAACCAAAATCAACAGCCTGCAATTGTTTTCCGCCACATGACACCCAATTCCCGCAGCTCGGGTCACTGAATACCTTAAAGACTAAAGAAACAAACGCATTGACATATTAGGCATTTAGCAGCACTAGGGTGCATATGAAAGACAATATTAGGTAGTATGTTATTAGTGAATATAATATATTTAACAGCACGTGTCCACAGGTGGAGAAAAACCAACTATTTGAATAAAATCTTTAGCAAAAGTCAACTTGTATGATCTACAGACTACACGCATCCATGAAAGTATACACTTTGTTGTGAGAGTGAGCAATGCGTCTCAAATTATAAAAAAAAAGGCGCTGATGCCAAATACTATTCCATTGAAATCCAAATGTACCCCTGGCGCCCTCTGCCGTTCCTAAAAACCCACAGATGAATTAAAAAGTAAATTAACCCCTTAACTGTCAATCCGTGTATCATTCGATCATTTGTTTTTTGATTTAATATTGAAAGTAGAAAAATGAGAAAACGGCTCCTTTTTTGTTTTTTTACAAAAAACGAAAATTCAGCTTAAATTTTCGTTTTTCATTCATGGGTGGAAAAATGAATAAACAGCTTATTTTACTGTGTTTTTCGGGATCTACTGGGACAGTGATAAAGATCTACCAGTCGATCGCGATCGACGTGTTGGCGACCACTGCTTTAGGCTATAGCAAATTATTTCTCGGTCCCCCTATCACTTTAAGAACCGCTGGTCTACACAGAAGAAAGACCTGTCTAGACTCTGCCCCGGTACGAGTTGTGTCGAGCTATTCATTAGTCTGTTTGATGAGAAAAATATGAAATTGATAAAATGGGTTATTAATCCGTACAACTGCAGCAGTGGAGGACTATTATTCTGCTGTGTGATACTGCAGAAGAACTGATGAAGGCACGGTTTGATCTTCGGCTGACCAATCAGCAGAAAGGGGCGTTTTATTCCCACCCACATGTAGAAATCGAATATTCAAGCTGTTTATTCATTTTTCCACCCATGAACGAAAAATGAAAACGTAAGCTGAATTCTCCTTTCTCGTTTTTTGGAAAAAAACAAAAAAAATGAAAAAGGAGCCGTTTTCTCATTTTTCTACTTTCAATATTAAATCAAAAAACGAATGATCGAATGATACACGGATTTACACGGATTACTGTCACCCCCATTTTTTAAAATAGGCAATAAAGTGCACTATCCAAACTTAAATTGTTGTAATTTATGAACACTTTGGAATACAGACCTAAGGTTGGTCTCTTTTTAAAGAAGAAAATCAGCAGATTATTGCAAACCTGGAATGATGAAAAAAATGTAGGTTCCTGTGAGATTTTATTTAGGGCGTTATAACACAAACAGCCACCGGGTGCTATCAAAACTCCATTGAATTTGTTTATGCATTTTTCTGTCACAAATGTCTAGATTTCTCTGTAAATCTTACTTCTATCTCAGAATCCTGAGACTCAGACCTTTCCAATGATATGTATTTTGTCAAGATTATAAAAAGTTTTGATTGTAAAATACCGTAATACATTTTGTAATATGACACTTGGCACCGCCCACTAAGGGGGAGGAGTTTTAAAGTACAATTTCCATGGTAACGCAATGTCCGATTTCAAAATGGTTTTCACAGGATGAATCTTGGGCTTCTAAGCTTTCAAATGATATATAATTTATGATGATTACTAAAAGATTTGATAGAGAAAATGGACAAAAAAAGAGTGCCAAACGTCCCACAGGTGGGACGGTGACAGTTGAGTTAAACTCTTTGATAAATAAATACATAAATACACCTTTTTTTCCCACACGACAACGTTTGGTCACTGACTGGAATTCATTGTATTTCACATAAAGAAAAAAAAATGTAGGGACATTTTCATAAAAATCAAGCACATTTTCACTCAAATTCTCATGTAATATAGCAATAAATAAATTAATATACATCCTATGTGCTGTAATGAAGTACTGAAAACCATTCTGTCAATACAATTTTTAATGAATAAAACCAGCATAAATTAAATCGCCTACAACTAAAACTACCATGATGTATATTTAATTTTAGTCATTTAAAAAAAAAAAATTTCACATCACAGTAATGAGGATGAGTTTTCCCACATTATAACTGCCTATTGACACTTGAGCAAAAATAATGTCACAAATCTTTGTGGTGCTCAAAATTGGTCTTTTCTTTACACAAAATACAATGCCTATTTCTTCTTTTGTAATATTAACCCGTGTATTTATCATCACCAAAACCAAAACTTAAGAAAGAACGACGTCTATAAATAGGTCATCTCTTTATTGTTGATTTTCACCTGTCAATTTCTTTGATATTTCATATTCAAAATGAGGACGGGAAGGGCCTTTCATCCAAGTTCACACACTCCGGGTGAAGGTGTCCGTGGGCACAAAGGAAACCCGAGAGAGGGAGACGAGGAGCGAGTCCGTTTCTGGCTGGAATGATACTTTTAAAAAGGACTATTTAAGAACTGCACTCCAGAAAGGAAAGAAAAAAGCAGGGCAAATTAAAATACTGATAATGTAAGTGTTTTTTAGATATCTAAAACCCTGACGAAATCTCCAGCAGTCATTCACGAGAGCCACACTGACGTCACTTTATAACTTTTGATGTAAATCTAAGGTCAGACCTCAGAAAAATAAACTGGATTGATCAAGAGAGAACAGGCACGTTTGGAATAATTGTAAAGGTTGTCTAACATTTTCTAACATTTGTCACTGTTTAAAACAGTGGTAATAGTTTCAGTTTCTCACAGAAAAACTTTTTTCCCACTTTTGTGTTTTTTTTTTTTGTCTCCAACACTCCCACAACCCAAAAAGAGTTGGAGAGGAAAAGAGGAGTGTTGTGAGTTTTCGCACATGAGAAACTAGTCCTCGATACGGGACTGTGCAAGGCTGTGTCGGAGTACAAATGTCCTTAAATGTATGAGCGACACTGATGACTCCAGAATCACACGTGACCTTTAGGAGTGTACAACGTATAGCGTTTGTATGTGCGCACAGGGGGCATTTGAGATCTACGTCAGTCACAGTCGTGTGTTCAGATGATTTCAAAGGTTTTCTTCAGTTCCATGATTAATTGCCAGTCTGATTTCTGCATCTCGTCTCTGAACCAGTTCTTCAGAGCATCAATCGACTGACGGGTGATCTACATAAGATAAAGGAAGACACTGAATTAATATTTAAATGGCATTTAAATATATGCTTTAACATTTGTATTAGGTAGGCCTGTCGCAATAATCAATATATCAACTTATCGCGCAATATATGTACATGACCGCAATAATTTTTGGTGACGCAATATATCGGCCATTATATTTACTTAAAAATTAATGTCACCATGTTTTGTACATTCCACTTGTGCCTGTGTCTTTTGCAGCTTCTCGTACATAACGTGGTGTAGTCATGAGGTGCTAGTACAAATTTTAAAAATGTTTCTACAAAAAAAAAGTTTTATCTGCAGATTTGGTCTTGTTTAGGGATCTGTGCTTTTGTGCATACGGACATCTGACTGCTAAGTAGTGATTGTGTTTTTCAGCAAGAGTGTGCACCCTTCATTTACAGAGAAAAGGTGAGGGAAAAATCTGTAGATGGAAAAATCTCCATACAAGTTCTTTGTGCATTTTTCTTTTTTTCTACTTTTTTGTTAGAAAATGTTTATTTAATATTTATTCAGGTTTTTTAAGGTATCTAATATTTTGATGATCTAAATATTCTTAAAAATGTAACGTTTGTTGTCATTTGGAAGTGTGTAGGCCTTCTTGCATTATTATGCTGTTACATTATGATTATATATTCAGTGGCATAAAATGGTCTTTAAAATGACAATAATATCGCTTATCGTAATAATTTCTGCCGCAAAATATATCACACAACAAAAAGTTGTTATCGTGACAGGCCTAGAATTAGTTTTTTTATTTTTTTTCAACAAAAACAAAAAACTAAGCATCCTATGAGCTCCAGTGGCTTTAGTTCAGGATGCAGGGAGAGAGCATACCTTGCTAACAATGATGTCTACAGCTTCAAAGTGTCTGCCGTACATCTTGGGTGCATCTCCAGGAATTGGCTCTATTTTCACACAGATCTCCTGTCCTTTCTTAGCGCTGTCTACAGACTTGTGATTTATTTCGATACCGGTCACAATGCCAATATCTACAAACTAAGAGAAAGAGAGAGAAAAGGTGGACCAAATCAATGCAAACAATTCAAGCTTTTCCCTTGAACTGGTAAAATGTAAAAACTGACAGTAGAGGCACAGAGTTGTTCTGCTTCATTCATTGTTGAGCTGAAAGTGTGCGTTCTCTACATGTCTCACACCTTTGCTGGGCACACACACAGGAGTGCCCGTCCTCAGTACTCCAGCCTCCACAGTGACACCCATGACGATGGGATCTCTGGAGTTGAAGATGAACTGGGGCAATATACGCAGCTTACAGGGGAACACAGCTATGTGTCTGAAAAAGAGAGAAACTTTCAGATATTCAGACTGCAAACACTCAGGAGAAATTACCTGTTTTTCAAACAAACCACTGTAACCACAGCCTTACAGAATTTAGTCTTGTTTGTGATGTAAAATGACTCAGGTGAGTGAATGATGAATTGTACACTACACCACTCAAAAGTTCGGGGTTGGTTTTTCAGATTTTTTAATGTTTTTGAAAGAATTCTCTAATGATCACGAAGGCTGCATTTATTTGATCCAAAATGTAGCAAAACAATATTGGAAAATATTACAATTTGTTTTCTATTTAAAATGAAATTTATTCCTGTGATGCAAAGCTGAATATACAGCACCATTACTCCAGTCTTCAGTGTCACATGATCCATCAGAAATCATTCTAATTTCCTTATTTTCTGCTCAAGATTATCAAATGTTAAAAACAGTTGCTGCTTAATATTTTTATAGAAACTGACATTTTTCAGGATTCTGTTGAATTGAAAGTTTAAAAGAACAACACTTGTACAACAGAGAACAACAGTAGAACATTTTACTGTTACTTCTAAATAATTACCTGCTGAATAAACATGAATTTTTAGCATTAACTAAAAGTTTCAACTTTTGAACGGTAGTGTATGTCTGATGAAAAAAGAAGAGGAGGATGAGGGCAGTAGATAACGCACTTGAACTCATCCTGTTTCTGTTTCTTGTAGTCTTCTCTGTATTTGGTGAAGGCATCAAACAGATGGTAGATGATCTCGGCGCTGAAAATACGCACACCGAGGCTGTCGGCCAGCTCCTGAGAATCTCGCTCTATTTTCACATCAAAAGCCAGGATCACTGCATACCTATAGGATGAGAGAGCGAATGATTAGGATAACAATCTGACAAGAGGAGATATATTATGCATCGATCAGAATACATACTGTGGATCATGCTCCAACATAGTGGAAGCTTTCATGACGTCCTTCTTGTGGACAGGACCGATGTTGATGCCAGCATACTGAGAGACAGAGGGAGAATTTAAGTGGGGATACAAACCCCTGAAACACTACAGCGGATTATAAATATATTTGCATTTCATTTAATTCTTCAAAATATAAAAAAAAAAAACAAGTAAAATCGTATTAATAAAAACTGACCAATAGTCTACGCAAAATACTAGCATTAAACTTAGGAGAGCTATTTGTGCGTTGCACAGAGATGCCGTCAATTTATGGTGTCTCTTTCAGAGTAGCTCGTAAATGTAATTTCTTCAATAGTAGTTGACCGATAGATTTTTTTTGATGGCTGAGATGCATAACAGTAGTTGAAAATAAATTTGTTTTACATAATGTTTACTAAATTAGAAATAAATAGTTTGAAAACGAATTATTAAAAAATAATTTGAACTGGATAAAAAAAAAAAAAAAGTTAACTTTAGATGGCAACTTCTTGATCACGCAATCCTATTACACATGTGAAATGTTTTTGTTATATAGTGAGATATGGCACTGTACATGCTACTTGTTGATAATAAAGCATTATATATATATATAAAAAAAAAAAAAAAAAAATCCCAGCCAGGTCCGTCATTTTTGGGTCCCCTTGAAACATTTCCGTTGTGGTCCGTGCTATTTGCATTTCTTCGTTTGCACGTGCTGTGAGGATTTGCAGCACGTTTCTTCGTTTGCATGTGTTGTGAGGATTTGCAGCGCGTGTTGTCAAACTGATGATGTTTTCTTAATTTGCTGTTGTTTTTTCAAATTGCATGTGTTTTCTTAAGTTGCAGCGCTTTGAGCTCTCTCGGCCACCATAATTTCAGCTCCCGGATCAACTCATCCTAGAAATAACCAACATCAGGATACAGGAAAGGTCACCAATGTAGCAATAAGATTAACTGTTAATTCTGACGTTTGACTGATTAATGTACGAACGAGAAAAGGATGGAAAGACAAAGAAAAGCAGAATGTTCTTAGAGAGAGGGACATGACTGATTGGTTTGTAAAGCAGCACACTTACCTTCAGCACTGGAATTTCATCCTCTTTATGAGCGACGAGAAGAGGCAGACCTGCCAGCGTCTTCTCCAGATCTTTTCCCAGGATCTTGACTCCCTGAGCCGTAGATACTTCTTTATGCTTCTCATACGGATTCTGTTCCCAGAGAGAAGAAAAATATAGGTTAAGAGTTACAAACAAGCTCAGAGGTTTATCCCAACACAGCAGATACGGCAAACTAAACATATAATAGTGCATAAGACCTTCACTCGGAGCTCTTTCAGGGGTGGTGGGAGGAGCAACCCTCTGATCTGAGTGATGATTGGTCCGTCGACACCGGGGACGATAATAGTCTCACCCTCCCGTAGACAACCGTTGAACAGGATGACGTCTATCGTCGTACCCATTCCAGGAAGAGCTCTTACCTAAGATATAGAAGATGAACAGCAGAGGTTATATTACAGTTGGGCTCCATGGGAAGAAAAAAAACAAATTATTGTGATTAAACATACCAAACCAGACTGTCACGATTTGTTACAGGAACTCATTTTACCTCCATGACCTGTGCTCGAAGTTCATCACAATGAGCCAGTCGGCGGGCCAGCATGGTCTGAGTGAGCTCCACCAGCAGGGCGATGAGGTTCCCCATCCCATCACCCGAGTGGGCCGAGGTGGGAACCAGGGACACAAATGTACGAGGGTCTTTGTTCTCGTAGAACAGGGCAGCGTTAAGTCCCTGAAGGTTGAACAAGACAGCACTTGTATGTAAAACTCAACAGGAGACATTTGCAGCTCAACAGTAAATGGGATTGTACTGTACTGTACAAGACGATGACAACAGACCTGCTGCGCAAACTCCACGATGACAGCTTTAGCCCTCTCATCAAACTCATCCTTGGTGTTTTTCTTCTGCTTCTTCAGTGTGGCCACCACGTCTGTGTCTGGACTCTTCTTCCAGTCGTACAGACGGTCAATCTGAGAAAGAAACACATTAGTATTTAAATACTTGCTGCAATCATCAGTATGAGCATTTGGTAGTCAGTATCTGGTACCTTGTTAAGTGCTACTATGAAGGGGCATTTCTTCTCCTTCAGCAGGTTGATGGATTCGATCGTCTGTGGCTCTAAACCGTGCATGATATCCACCACCAGGATGGAGATGTCACACAGAGAACTACCCCTGTTCCTCAGATTACTGAAGGGTGGAGAAGAGTGCCATTAAACATACAAACAAGCTTAAAAAGCCATGGCTAAGTGCTTGACTGATATGGGTTTTCTACAGTATCGACACATTTTAGAAACTTTATAACAGCAAGTTAACATTTAATATAAATTTCCATATAAAAACAAATAAATAACCATTAATAACAATTAGCAATTTTAGCAATTGGTAAGATTTTTTCAAGAAGTCACTTATGCTTACCAAGGCTGCATTTATTTTATAAAAAATACAGTAAAACAGTAATATTCTGAAATATTACAATTTAAAATAACTTTTCAAACATTTTTTCAACATTTTAAAACTATTATCAAAGTTAAAACAATTGTGCTGCTTAGTATTTTTTGTAGAAACTGTGATACATGTTTCAGGATTCTTTAAAAAATTGAAATAGAAAGCTTTTGTGGCATTGTAAATGTCTTTAGTATCATTTTTAATCAATTTAATGGGTTCTTGCTGAATAAAAGTATGTTTTCTTTCGTTAAAAAAGAAAAACTCACCCAAAACTTAAATGGTAGTGTATAAAATCTGTCTATTATTTTTATTTGGCACACAAAAATCAATAGCAGTGTGTACCTGAAGGACTCGTGTCCAGGTGTGTCAATAATGAGCATGCCAGGAACCTTCACGTTCTCCTTGTCAAACTGATGCAAATACACAAACACATGCCTTAATAAATCCCATGGAAAAACAGAATGAGAAAATATGCATTACAGAAAGATACATACATTTTTCACCATCTTGGTTTGTTCTAATATGGTTTCCAGGGGCACATTAGTGGCTCCGATCTGCTGTGTGATCCCACCAGCCTCACCATCCTGAACATGTGTGTGTCTCAGCTGACAGACAGAGAAGAAGAAAACAATATTAAATGCACAAAAACCACACAGGTGCTGAAGTCCACATCAGGCACTTTGAAACGCACCTTATCCAGGATTTTGGTCTTCCCTGTGTCTACATGACCCAGTACACAAACCACAGGAGAGCGGAGCTTGCCAAAATTAATGTTCTTCAGGTTTTCCTGCCTTCGTTTCTGAACACAAAGAAAAACACGGTTGATTCCACTTTGTGTGAATAAATGTGTCCACTTTGTATAGTGCAAAAGACTGTATGCGTACCTCTATGCGTCTCTTGGCCCTGTCATAAAGTCTCTCCTCTTTGCTTCGGTCATCGTCCGAATCGCTCTCGCTGCTCGACTCGGAGCTCGGCTCTTTTCCTGCTTTATTTGTGCTCATCTTGTTGCTGCTGTCTTTGTTGTCCTCCTCATCCTCACTCTCCTCCTCTCCTTCATCCTCCTCTTCATCTTCATCCTCCTCTTCATCATCATCCTCCTCTTCATCATCATCCTCTTCTTCCTCACTGCCGTTCTCTTGGTCTTCAGCAGGTTTTTGTGTTGCCGGAGTAGTTCCCTTCACCTCAATGTGAACCTTCATCTCTGTGAACGCACAAATGTCAAATTAATCAGCACTCACAACAAACCACCACCAAATGACTTCATGATTTTAAAAGACATGTATCCTTGGGAAAGCATGCTTTACACCCACCTTTCTCCTCATCGCTGGCCATGGCCTCCCAATCGTCCAGATCAGCAGCCTCCGCTTTTGGCTCCTTAACTGTTGCAATGAAAATGTTAGCTATTATCCTTGTTTACAGCCACAAATCATGAACAGACAAATCCTTATTCATGATTAGCTTTACAAGTCTATAAAAGTATTTTCACTTATTTACTTTTTTTGACAATAAGCCATACAATTTGTAGGGCCCTATTATTTAGGTGATGCAGAAAACGTGGCCAGAATTGTGGAATTCAGGAATTAAAATGGAATTTAGCGTATTGTGTGCAATGTCACAGAATAGGATAATGTTTGGATTAATAAATCAAAAGTAGAGCTAAGATTAAAATGAATCAAATTCAAATTGACATTAGTAATTAAACCGCAAATCAGCATGTCAAAAATTACAACAGATCGCCAAAATAAAAGTGCTATCTTGAAATGATAGAAATATTACTATTGTACAGTAAATGAACTTCTATAAGTAGTAGCAATAGTAATAGCAATAAAAATAAGCAACAGCTATTTTTAATATGTATTTACACATATTAATTTTTGTTGTGCAGCATTGTATATGACAAACTAATGGCTAAAGTTTCCTAATGGCTCAATTGTAATTACGATGTTAACATGGAAAGCCAGAAAAAAATAAAACGCATTTGAAAGGAACCTAAATTTGAGAAATTTAAGTAATTACCTTGCTCTGCTTCAGGTTTGTCCACTTCCATCTCTGTTGTGATTGGCTGAGGTATCTCTGATGTGGGTGATGCCACTTCTGAAGTTTCTAATATAAGCCATGAAAATGTTAGGATGTCTTTAACCATCCTTGACAACCACAGGTAAATACACAGAGAAAGAAACAGGTATCGGATTTGTCGGGATCTAACCTTCAGGAGTTTGTGCTGTTGGCTTCTTTTTTCTCTTATCAGAGTAAACTGGCTTTTTCTTTGGCATTGCGTCTTTGGATGGCACTTCAACACCTGAGAGGAAGCCAATGACACCATCAGCTCCAAAAATATTTACTACTTCTTTCATCAAAGCTGCTGGCAGTCATGTTCTCACCCTGAGCCTGCAGCGCTCGCAGCGTGGCTTCTGCTCTGGCTCGAGCCACTTTCTGGGCCTTGGTAAGGAGCTTTCCCTCCTTCTTTAGCCTTTCTTTTCTCTCCTTGTCCTTTTGTTTCTTCTTCTCTTTCCTCTCGGCCTCTAGACGCTCCTGTGGATGAAGGTTTCAGAGATGAAGGAATGATAACGGTTTTGACAACATAAGCTTGAATGCCCGAGTCTTTCACTGACCTGCTCCTGTCTCTGAGCCTCCAGCTCCTCCAGCCGTCGCTGTCTCTCCTCCTCTTCTCTTTTGGCTCGTTCCTCCTCCTCCTTCATTCTGGCCAGGGCCTCTTGCATTGCTTTCACTGTTGCTTTGCTGGGACCCTTTTTCTTGTCCTTTTCTGTCTCCTCCTTCTCACCTTTCTTCTTCTTCTTGTCCTTTTTCTTTTTGTCACCTTCAGCCTCCTCTGTAGAAAATCAGAGGATAGAGGAACATAAATTGGAGAAGCAGCATAGGACTTTCTGATGTATTGAGTTTCTTATAGAGTGTGTTTGACTCATTTTTTTTTTATCACCCCTTGCCTCACGACTTGCAACTATTAGAGCATTAAGACTTCAGTAACATAAAATTGGTAAGTTTGAATAATTTCCATGAAACAGTTTATTCAAAATTCTGTGATTCAAACCAAATAAATAAATAAATGCCAAATTATTTTTCCAAGGGCTAAAAAGAAAAGAGGAATAAATATATACAAAATCGTGTCTGTGGGTTTGAATAAATGTTTTCCTTCATTTTAGTAAATACATTAATACATAAATATCAAATATAAAATATACACACACACACGCACACACTCACTACCATTCAAAAGTTTGGGGTCAGTAGGGTTCTTTAATGTTTTTAAAGCAGTCTCTTATGCTAAGGCTGCATTTACTTGATAAAAAAACAATTACTATTATGAAATATTGTTACTACTGTAATATATTTTAAAATGCAATTCATTTTATTAATTTTTGCATCGTTACTCCAGTCTTCAGTGTCACATGATCTGTCAGAAATCATTCGAAAATGCTGATTTACTGCTCAAGAAACATTTCTTATTATTAAAAATGTTGAAAACAGTTGTGTTGATCATATTTTAGTGAAAACAGTGATACATTTTTTTCAGGATTCTTCGATGAATAGAAAGTTCAGACAAACAGCATTTAGTTGAGATTTGAGAAATCTTTTGTTATAAAATGTCATTGCTGTCAGTTTTGATCATTTTAATGCATTCTTGTATAATAATAATAAAAAAAAATCCCAAACTTTTAAACGGCAGTGTACATATACACATACATAAACACAATGTACAATGGACAATCTGACCTTCTCCCTGGACATCAGCTGCATCCTGCTCCACTGAAGCCTCTGCCTCTATTTCCTTGCTCTCTGCTGAAGGTGTGGTAGCAGGTTTCCCTGTCTCCTTCTTTAAGGCCTCCTCTTCTTTCTCTTTCTTAGCTCTCTGCTTGGCCTTCTCCTCCTCTTTCTTCTTCCTCTCCCTCTCTTTTTTCTCTGCTTTCTTCTGCACAGCTGTCTTCACCTTGAAGGCCGATTCTTCTCCTTCATCTTCCTCACTGTCTGGTTTGGCTTTACTTTTCTTCTTGCGTGCGGCTTGAGAATAATCGTCTGATTCATCATTGTCACCCGCTCCTTCACCCTTCTTCGCACCACCATCTTCAGACGCACCCTTTCGGCCAGCTTTCTTTTTAGCCGTAGGTTTCTGCCGTGACCGCGAGCCCTCATCCTCAGAGTCTGAAGCAGCACCAGCAGGAGCGGGAGCCGCCACCGTCTCCGTGTCTTTCGCCCTGCGCTCGTTTTCCATGTTGTTCTGACCCTGATCTTCATCACCTTCCTCATCCTCCAGATTTGCCTTTTTACCCTTCTTGGCCTTCTTCTTGTCCGCTTTACTCAGAGCGGGCTCAGGTTCAGCGTCCACTGCTGAATCGGATTTCTAAGACAGAAACACATGGAGAAATTGCTGTCAATGGCACGTGACTCAGCTTGTAAAATCGGCACTATCAGAAAAGAGAGTAAAACAAAAGACAATGCATGCTGAATGTGATTATCAGTTTGTGTTAATGAAGAATACCTTTTCCTCTTCTTTAGATTTTCCTCCTTGGTTTTCTAATGACAGTGTCTCCAGTTCTTTCTGGATGTCATCCTCACTGCAAGTAAAAGACTTCATCATTAATTCCCAACACTTACATTCATGTTCAAAAGTTTAGGGTCAGTAAGATTAATTTAATTAATCAATAGTAGTGCTGTCAAACGATTAATCGCGATTAATTGCATCCAAAATAAAAGTTTTTGTTTACATAATATATATGTGTGCACTGTGTATATTTATTATGTATATATAAATGCACACACATGCATGTATATATTTCAGAAAAATATGTTATTTTTTATATATTAAATAGATTTATTTATAATATAAATTATATGAATATAAATATAGACATGTAAATACATGTACATATTTTCAAAGTATATACTGTATGTTTGTGTATTTATATATACATAATAAATATACACAGTATACACACATATTATGCAAACAAAAACTTTTATTTTGGATGCGATTAATCGTTTGACAGTACTAATCAATAGTTTTAGCCCACAAAGATGTATTAAACGTGGTGCTGTCAAACGATTAATCGCAATTAATCGCATCCAAAATAAAAGTCTTTATTTATATATACATGCATGTGTGTGTATTTATATATACATAATAAATATACACCGTACACACACATATATTATGTAAAAAAAAAAACTTATTTTGGATGCGATTAATCGTTTGACAGCACTAATTAAACTATTTAAAAGTGACAGTGAACACATTTATAATGTTACAAAAAATTCTATAAAAAGGCTGTCCTTTTGGACCTTCTATTCATTAAAGAATCCTGAGAAAAAAAGTGTCAGTTTCCACAAAAATATAGCTAAAGCAGCACAACTGCTTAAAACATTGATAATAATAAAAATAAAAATAATAATAATAATAACAATAATAATAATAAAGAAATGTGTCTTGAGTAGCAAATCAGCATACTTAAATGTTTCTTGTAGGATCATGTGACACTGGAGACTGGAGTAATGATGCTAAAAATTCAGCTTTGAATCACAGAGATAAATTACATTTTAAAATATATTACAGTATATTAAAAATAGTTATTTTGAGTAGTAGCAATATTACTGTTTTTTTTCTGTATTTTTGATCAAATAATTTTCTGTATTTTTTATCAAATAATTGCAGCTTTGATGAGCATAAGAGACTTCTTTCAAAAACATTTTTAAAATCTTACCGACCCCAAACTTTTGAGCAGCACTGTATAGACAGAGAAAATCTCTTTTAAGCTTATGAACTGTGTCAGTGTTGGAGGAAAGAGGTGAAGACCTACTCAAAGTCATCTTTCTTTCCTTTCTTTTTCTTGCTCTTTGATTTGCTCTGCTCCTTGCCTGCTCCTGCTCCTTCAATTTCAGCTGCAAGCGCGTCAATGTCAACTCCGTCGTCTTTGGCACTATGAAAAGCAGAAAAGAATACATTACATTTTTCACTACTGAACTTTTTTAAAAACTTATTTGCCATATTACAATCACTACATTTATGGCGTTATTTTAATGACAAATGTCGAGAGCGCATTATTGTAGCGCGAAAGCACATTAATACAATGCGCGAGCGCGAATCTCTCTGCTCGCGCGCGGATTTCCTTTGCTCTCGCACAAAACTGGACACGCGCACTCAGATACACGCTGCTCTCGCCCAGAGAGAGTGCGCGCACTTAAAACATGTCTCTCCTCTCACTCAAACTGTGTCCTGTGCACTCTCAAATCTCTCTGTGCTCATGCGCTATAGATATTAATTCTTTTCGCACCTGAATTAAATGTTGTCAAAGGTTATCATTATGCACTTTTAAAAAGTAGTCTCAAAACAGATTTGTGCAGGGCCTTTCCTTGATTTTTTATTGTTGTATTTTTGTTTTAACAAACTGGTTATTGTAGCTACTTTGTTTTACTATATCTCTTTTAT